AGGAAGGAAGGAAGGAAGGAAGGAAGGAAGGAAGGAAGGAAGGAAGGAAGGAAGGAAGGAAGGAAGGAAGGAAAAAGTGGCTTCCAACCTTCATCACAACAAGTTTAAACAATTTTAGTAACTTTTCACTTCTTCTTAATTTACAACAAGTGATCTCTTCATCCCATGTCCCATCTCTTATCTATAAACAAAGCATTGTCATTTCAGTCCTGGTGTCAGCAAAAGTCCACTAAGGGTTGCCAGAAACATATCTGTTTTAACCTTGATCAAATAAGCCAACTTTATATTCCTTCCTTTTACTTCTACTTCTACTTCTACCTTTACTTTTACTTTTACTTCTAACAATCGTAATCTTTAGTCCATTCAAATAATGTCATAGAACTTGATTTTTAAAAAAATTCTTTTTTGCCCCTTCTCACAAGATTCATCCAAGCTTTAACAAATCTGTTTTGTAAATCCAATACATAAGAATTATTCAGATTACTCTCTTGGTTTATTATTTGTAATTTCCTTTTGATTTTGAAAGCATCAACCAATTTATTTTGTATGTCCAATGAGACATCTTTTCCATGTCATTCTTGTAGCCTGTCATTTGTAGATCCACTTTCAATGTCAACTCTGTCTTTGTCTTGACAGATAAAACTTGTTCCTTTTCTGCCATTTCTTCCAAAACATCTTTTGGACATAGTCTATCCATAGAAGCAAATAACACTATTGACATTGTTGATACTAACTTCTGATTCCATTTTTCAAAAGTGTCCTTCAGTATTTCCATTGTTATAATATTTTGTGTCTGTAGCTGTTGATCAGGTATTCTTCTCCTTTAATTAAAATCTTTAGTTCCTTCTAGTGTCCAATTTTTAAGATTAATTATCTGTATTATGTTTTAGAAAAAAATTAGAAAAAGTTCAAAACAAGTCGACTTTCCTGTGGGAAGGATTCTTTATAATTAATTCCAAAGTCTTATTTCAAAGTCATCTGGACCCTTAATCTGTTTATAGCTTTCTAAAGTCAAAGCAGAGGCCAAACTCTGTTCTTGGAAGATTTCAGTGGGAGGCAGAAAATGAGAGTGGTTTGCCTTCCCACATGTTCCCCACCCCAGGCCCTAGAGGCTTGTGTCTCCCCAACATTTGTGTGCATGAGGACACGCTCCTTCCCCTGGGATGCAACTTCAGCAGAAGGGCTTCCAGATGAGGCTACAATGCACATGTGTATTCAAATTACATTGTATATCTTTTATAATCCTATGTATTCCCACTGCTTTTTCTTTCTTTCTTCTCTTAATCTCCTCCTCCTTCATCTTCCTTCTTCCACCTTCTTCTTAAGGATGAAAGACAGAACAGCTGCATAATAACTTTTAATTAGCTCTAGGAGTACTTTGGGTGTATCCAAGATGTACTGTGTGAGCCCATGAAGCAGTCATGGTCTGGTGGTTGCAAAATAGGAGGGACTTTCATTGCCCCATGCAATCTCAGAATTTCAAACAGAAAACCAGCTTGAATCTTGGGATGAGACTTCCTTGCCTTTGAAATGGTTGCCACTGCAGTTTTCATCAGATGATCATTTGTTACAGGGAAGGATTCCAGTGATGATTATCTTGGTGCAATTTCTCCTGCTCTTCCCTTGTGCCCTTCTCTCCTGCTTCTTCTAAATAATAGCTATTCACCAGCAGCAAGCAACTCATTCATCCTGTTAATTGTTGCAGGAGAAGGACTTCCAACTCCAGAATGTCCATCTGATTGGCTACAGTCTCGGGGCCCACATTGCTGGCTATACCGGAAACTATGCCCAGGGGACTATAGGAAGAATTACAGGTAAGCTGGACACCTGGCAGCTTTCTCTTGCTTTCCAAAAATGTTACAGTGGTTTGTCTCCTGTTTCCTGCAACTGCCAGATGTCCCGTCTAGTACAAGAAGTGGTTTTGTAGCCCGAGAGACCTAGTAAACCCTGACGTTGTGTGTGCAGCTTCAGGTAATTAATCAGACCCATTCTGCTCAAAATAGCCTTGGGTAACCCGATCTTGCTCTCTGCCTTCTACACCAGTCGTATGCCCTTGGGGGTAATTGTAGAGCTGTGTTTTGGTCAAGGCTGGGTTGTGGTTAGTGGTGGATGGGGCCAAAGTCAGAAGATAGGAGTGCATCTCCTTTCTGTCTCTGCCCCCACTGCTATCTCTCTGCCATGTCGTCGTCTTTCCCACTTCCAGTGCCCTGACTCCTTCATTACACAGGGGAAAGATTAAAAAAAAAACTTTCATTGGCATTAGCAGCAGATTTCCACCCCCCCCCCGCCCCCCATCTTCCCTTAAGCTTAACTGCCATGTGAAAAATAACCTTTTTGGGAAGGGGTCATCAATGAAACTTTTCTTCCCAGCCCTGTGTGTACGTGCGTATAAGTATGCATACGTGCTTTTGTCTGTGTGCACACACCCATAACCTTGTTTTGCCAAGAATATTTTCCCCAAGCTTTACATATCATGGAGGAGCTCCCCTACACCTCTCCTTCTAAACCAGGCAACCTGAAGCCCCAAAGCTACATGTGATTCCCAACCCCCTTTTTTTCAGAACTGCTGAAAATATGCTGCTCTTTTGAGGCAAAAATGCATGAAAACTGCCTTTTTACAAATGAAACCCTTCTTCCATTTCCTTTTTTCCCGCAGAGAATTCCCATCTTGGCTGCAAGTCCTATTAGACAACAAACCAGACCTTGCAGAAATATAGCTCCTTTTGGGCCAAACAAAAGCTCTAACAACAAGCTAGCTTTGTCAGTGTAGGTGGACATAGGCTCCATACAGCTTCAGAAAACTAATTTCATGTTCTATGTACCCTCCCCCCAAATTTGGACGCTAACCATGAGACCACCATAACATCATTAGCTTCAGTTTCCAGTCCCCGTTCAGCCCCAGAGATGGTGTCTTTGGACCAGTCTTTGGGCTCACCCTACCATCCACTTACAGCAGCACAAGGATGCTCCAGGAATCATTTTAAGAGATGGGACCTCCTAACACCGCCCCCATCTCATTGCCAGCACACTGCAGAGGGAGCCTAGAGCTCCCAGTTAAAGTTCCCTAGAGTTCCCTGTTAAAGTGGTATTCTCCCCTTTTCTTTTCTTTTTTCTGGTACAAATCCTGCCGTACAGACAATCCGCGATGCCTCATTAATGATGTGACTGAAGTTGCAGTCAACAGCTTAGATCTTCGCAACTCCCATTGACCGCTCATTATCCTGCAGGCCCATGCCCCTCCCCTTCTAGTCATTGGGCACTGCCCTCTATGTCCATCATGGCTTGGGCTGGAGAAAGACCAGGCACCCATCTTGCATAGAGTGGATCTGTCAGCAAGGGGATTGGGAGGGGAGGGGGGAACAAATTGACCCGAGACTATTGATCTCCCAGGGAACTGATATTCTCATGTCAAGCAAAGAAACAAAACATATCCTGACTGTTTGTCAGTGGTTGTACTTTCTTCTTATTGCAACCCAGAAGTAATTTTGCACATTGAGAAAAAGGAGGTGATGGTGGTTTAGATGGTTTGGATCTAGGGCTATTGCTCTTCTGTGTCCAAACAAACAAACAGAACAATTCCAGTTGACTGGCCAAGGGAACATAGGATGAATCAGAAAGGGATATCCAGAGTCTCCCAACTTTGCCTTGCCACATGTCCTGGGCAGCGATTGGTGGATCAGCAGGTGACCCAGAATTGAAGGGGAAAGGAAGCTGGGGAGTCTGCCAATCACTTCCCTGAAATTATCCCACCTTAAAGCTGTGAGAGTAACACTGCTTCTACTTGCAAAGCCCAGCCATGGGGGCATATTTTTCTGCCTCCTTGGGAATGCCCATTAAAGTTACCACCTGGCTGTGCCCAACTCACCTCACTAGCTTGTTGTTGCAATCATCAAATCACCATGAGTATGCAAGAAAAATACAGATAAAAATTCCAGTTTCCTGTCATTTTTCAGCAGGAACCCAAGAGAAACGTGTGTGTTAAGAACAAGTTTATTGCAAATTTAGAAGGGTGAGGAAAGGAACTCCCTAAATTACTTTAAACAAACAAAGCAACAAAAAACCCACAGAAAAGGGGTCAAGAATTTTGGCCCCAGCATAAAGTTTGCCCCTGGTACTGGCCTAGACTAACCATTCCTCTGATAAGACATAAAGCAGGTTCTTCTAGAAGAACGATGACCTTCAATTGTGGTGAAGGACTAACCACATGCCTTGATACTCCAGGCTTGGATCCAGCTGGCCCAATGTTTGAGGGAGCCGATCCAAGCAGACGTCTCTCTCCTGACGATGCTGATTTTGTGGATGTCTTGCACACGTATACGAGAGAAACATTGGGCATCAGCATTGGGATCCAGATGCCTGTGGGTCATGTCGACATTTACCCCAATGGAGGAGACGTCCAGCCGGGATGTGGCCTTACTGACATCTTGGGAACGCTCGCCTTAGGAGGTGAGTTGACTGTTCTGCTTGGTCTGTGACAGAGCTTTGGGGGGTAGGGGTTTCCCAGAGGGCAGGTCTGCCACGTCGGAATAATTTCCAAGGGGGAAATGGGAATTTCTTCAGAGATGGGACAGCATGTCTTTGAGGAAGGTAGTGTAACAGCTGATACCAAACAAGTGTATCAATGAAATAGTCATTGTACAAATGTTTACCCTGCCTTGAAATATTCAACAGATGGTCTTAGACAAGGCATATGAGGGCTTAGCTGCATAAGACCACTCTACAGCATAGATTTTTTTTATAATCCATCTGTCCCCCACTTGGCTCAGAGTGGAGGCCTTACTATGGATTGTCTCCTTTATCCACCTAACAACCCAAGAAGGTAGGCTAAGCTAAGAGGGACTAATTGGCTACATTCACACAACATGTTTAACTCATTTTTAGGATTCACACAATACAGCAGTGTCCTTCAGCTGTTTTGGTCTGGTTTAGGAGAATTGGTGATTGCATTGTTGCACGAATTACGGCTAAACCCAAACCTCATATTCTTCTTGCTTTGCTTGGACAAGCTGAGAAGGAAAGCCCAGAGCATGTCAGGATTGGCATTTGCAGGCAAACCCAGATTCTTGACCAAATTATGTTATTGGGTTTCTGGACAGCCAGGTTACCTAAGTAGAGCAGGAAAAGGTGAGCTTGTCTATTGAATGTATAGGGCAGGGTTTTTCAACCATAGCAACTTTAAGATGTGTGGACTTCAACACCCAGAATTCCCCAGCCAGCTTGTTGAAGTCCACACATCTTAAAGTTGCTAAGGTTGAGAAACCCTGGAGCAGGGCCTTCAATATATAATAAAAAATTAACTTCTACTGCTTCCTTTTAAATAGAACTTGATGGACATAAATATGGTCGAAAATTCTCCCAAATTCTTACATGTACCGATCCCTGTTTAGTTTAGTAAGACTCGGGGCACAACACTAAACTGATTAACCCATTTCTAAGTAGAAGTGTGGCCACTGAGTAAGGTTGAAGCTGACATCTCTTAATTAGTAAAGCTTTTCAGTACCATATCAGCAGTATTAATGGTGATATAAATGTGACTTTTGATAAAATATATTTTATATTAATATAAATATTATACACTGCCACGAATCCATGTGGAGTGTGGCAGTACATAAATAAAATAAATAAAAAGAAGAAAAGAGGAAGAAAAGTTAAATAAGGCAAAACATTGTCTCAGCACTTATATTTTCAGTATCCACACTCAAGAGGGATATCAAGCTATTTCTCCAAATGTCTTCAGTTCTCCAAGTATAGCAACCAAGACCACATTTTCTAACCTTTTATTATCAAGAAAGGGCATCCAACTCAAAGGGAATTCTTTATGCGGAAGATTATTTTTTCTCTCATTCTTCCATTCCAAAACCACTGCATTTCTCAGTTTAAATTGAGTTAAATTGAATTATGTAGAACAGATTCTTGAATTTGTGATGAGAAAAGTCTATCCTATTTGAAATGTGAGTAGGCCCTGGCTTCTCGAATTCTGAAAATCTCTGTCTTCATTGTTGGGGTATTTCTCTAGGTTTTATAACTTGGATGAAAGAATACAGATTTCCAGAGTTGGTACTTGTCATAGTTCTCATTTTGAAGAATTTGGGCCAGAACCAGTTGTGCCTAATTGCCTAATCTAGATATCACTTTTTGTAGAAGACAACACATTAGAAACTGACCAGGTGGGCTGTGGTTTGTAGAATGTGCAAAGATGCACATGTGTGCACCTTTGCGAACCTAAGCTAACATTAAACAAGCTTGGGATATGATGGAAATGCATTGGTAGGAACTGTATTTTTCTGACTTGATGAACATGTTGTGTGAACATAACAACTGAGGGAATATTTCGGGCAGTCTCCAAGATAAAATCCAATACAACTTCTACGTCTTTGGCCTTTCTTTCCATACAGGATTCTCGTGAGCATTAGAACAGGATAACACACTCTTAAATATTAATAAATAAAATAAATCAATTATTTTATTTATTAATTTATTAAATTAATAAATAAAATATTATTAAATAAAATTAAATATTAATAAAATCATCTTAAAACATTTTGGGGGCTCTGCCTTCTGAAAAGAAAGATGCTGGCTTCCATCTTTTCTTTATAATGAATAAACTGAAGATGGCTCTAATACAAAACGAACTTGTATTTCTGGGTTGTTTTAAAGCAGCCACCTCCTGATCTGTTTGTTTATTTTACTTATTTATTTATTGTATTTTTTAATCAAACTTGTATAGCTGCCCATCTCACAGAAAAGCAATATGTTGCACTGCAATCAGGGACATCTGGTGGAGGAGGGAGACAGGGCCAAAATCAGCAAGGTGGCAGACAGAATGCCATGATGATGATGATGATGATGATGATGATGATGATGCCATCTTGCTGGTTTTGACCTTCCCATGTGGCTGCTGCTGCTGAGTTCGGTTCCCATAACCACTGGGCAGTATGATCAAAGGCCCTGCTGCTGGGACGCATTATGGGACTGGTAGCCCCCAAATTCTGGAGGGTGCCAGGCTAGGAAGGGCTGTGTTTAAGGGTTTCAGTTAAAAATGCTCTGGAAGGACTTTAAACTACAAGGAGCATTTTATAAATGCAAAGCAGTTATTTAAACTTCAAACATCTTTTGGGGAGTCTTGCTCGTGGCAATGTGAAAGGAACGTATGCCCTCTTGGCTAATGAATTTGAGGCTTTGTGATAATTGGCAATTGCTTGGAAAACTCATTCCTTCCTATTGAAAATGCAAAGCTATTTCAGTTTATGAAACGATTCCAACTGGTTCTGCATCGTTCTTATTATTTAAATGATATGTGTGTCCTTTGGGTTGTGCTGCAAAATTCTTGGCTACTGGCCTGCCTGGTTCTTGGCCAAGTTTGGCTCGTGCTGAACTCTGAAAGCCACCAAGAATCATAAATCTTGCTGCACGTGTGGATTTTCTCCTCCGCTTCTGTTGAGGGAGAATGTTAAATGGCTGTTTTTGCATCACAATGATTGCCTGTGGCCCATCTACCCATCTAGAGATTGGGGACCTTGTGATGTGTGAACATGAACGGTCGGTGCTCCTCTTTGTGGACTCCCTCGTGAACAAGGACAAGCAAAGTTTTGCCTTCCAGTGCACGGACTCTGGACGCTTCAAAAAGGGCATCTGTTTGAGCTGTCGCAAGAATCGTTGCAACAGCATCGGGTACAACACCAAGAAAATGAGGAACAAACGGAACAGCAAGATGTATCTGAAGACAAGGGCAGGCATGCCTTTCAAGGGTAAGATGTCAACTTCTCCTCCTCCTCCTCCTGAATGAAAGGCCTTTGGCAATGTTGGAGTGTCCCTGATGTGGGTCCCTAAATGTTGTTGGACCACAGCTCCCATAATCTCTGGCCATGCTTGTGGAGGGGGATGGGAATTGGAGACCAGCATCTGAGAACCCACGCTTGAAGTCACTGCAGCAGCTTTTGATTGTTTCAGAATGCTTAAAAGTTTAAATGTTTCAGTTTTATTGTTTACATTCTTGCTCACCCATTTTCTATATCAGAGTAGGTCCAGTAGCAGCTAATCTGGCATAAATCTTTAGATTAGTGACTGACAACTACTCCCTAAATGTTCAGATAATAGCCAATCTACCTGGTTCCTCCTGAATGCCTGAATTTTAACAGTTATTTCATTTAACAATATTGAGGATTAAAAAAAAAATACAGGTAGTCCTCGTTTAGCGACCACAATTGGGACCGGCAACTCAGTTGTTAAGCAAAGCAGTCACTAAGTGAAACCATGACTGTGCTCATGATCTTCCTTCAGCTTTCCTTTGCTTTACAGACTTGCAAAAGTTGTAAATGTAAGGATTGGTCATAAAGTTACTTTTTCAACTCTGTTGCAACTGCAAATGGTTGCTAAATGAGGCAGTTGCTAAACAAGGACACTACCTGTAACAGCAAAATCACTGCAGTGGGGAATCCAACTTCCACACTCTACTGCTTTTCTGGTTCTATGCCTTCTAGTTTGGGATCCCAACAACACAGTTGGCAATCAGATCCTTGGCCAGTAGGCCCTCACCTTGCAAGCCACGTCTATTAACGTTACAAAAGATTTGCAACTCTCATTTTGGCTCTGCACAAAGTGACTCCCCCTGTCTTTCCTCAGTTTTTCACTATCAAATGAAGATACACGTCTTCAGCTATAAGGGTCTGGGAAAAACAGAACCAGCTTTTTCTGTGACATTCCATGGAACCAATGGGGATTCCCAACCTCTACCTCTGGACATGTAAGTGGGGAATTTGGGATATCAGTCTTTCTCTTTAAAGTTGATATTGTTTTCTAAAAAGTCTACATCCATGTTTTGCTCCCGTAACTCTGTCCTTAGAAGAGTTGGTAGAATCCCTTGTTTTAAAGAGGAGAGTGGTTCAGAGAAGTTCTCAGTTTCTTTGTGATCCTACACAGCATGTCTTAGTACCCATGGCTTAAAAAGAAGGGTTGGGAACTTCCAGTCTGTGGGTCTGATCTATCTCACCAGGTTGACTCTTGGAACCCGGGGGGCCTTGAACTTCCCTTTGAAGCAAGGCTGAGCTAGTGGGTCCCCGCCTCGGCTCTTTCTGAATGAACATTTGCCCAACTTTTGCCTCATTTTCAGGTATGAGCAGATTGGCGTGAACTATACCAACACCTTCCTTGTCTACACAGAAGAAGATGTGGGTGATATTCTAAAGATCAAGCTTACTTGGGAAAGGCCTACTCAGTCGTGGTATAACTTTTGGAAAGAAGTGAAAAACTACTGGTCTAAGTCTGACAGCTCATCCAAAGAACTGCAAATCAGGCGCCTCCGTGTGAAGTCTGGCGAAACTCAACAGAAGTAAGTGCTTGCTGAAAGATCACCTGTGGGGAGTGTGTGGCCCTCTGGATGGTGGTGATGTGAAGCCCCAGCATCTTTTTTTATTAGCCAGAGTGGTGGGACATGCTGCGGTTGAAAATAACTGGAGGGCCATTCCTATGAGACAGGGAAGGGATGCTCAGCTTGAACTAAGCAATTCACATGTGCACGCATGCACGTGTACACCAAGTGCTTTGTTGCCATCTAAACGTCATATGTATCCTGAAAGCACCATCCCTTTTAATCAAGCCATGACTTCTTAACCCTATTTCTGCAATGCTGTTCCAAAAAATCAACAGTCAGAACAAGAGGTATTCTGACAACCAAAAATCTTCAGCTTACTTGGAACTTTAGCCACTAGCCTATCTTCGAGTTCTTGGCTTGTGAAAACCCACAAAGATATAGGCAAGGAATCCCTCAGATAGGAAAAATTTTAAGATGTGTGGACTTCAACTCCTAGAATCCCCCAGCCAGCATGCTGGCTGGGAGATTCTGG